CTTTCTCTCTCCCCATGCTTAAATTGAGGAAGCTGGACAAAAATACATCTTGAGATGGTACGACGCCCCAGTAACGAAAATATCATCAAACCATTACTGCTACCAATTATGTGCTTTAACTACAAAATGCCACATATCTTGTCTTCCACCCAGAGAAGTAACTAAAAAAGGAGCATTACTTCGGGTGCAGTTCTGGTTGCAATACGAACGACCTCCAAAGTAGAGGGGCTTAGAATGGCAAGGCTAACAGCAATCTTGCTTCTGTACTCACTAAAAGTCTGGCAACAACAAATTATTTTTTAAACATGGTTTTCTACAGATGCGCAGAAGATTGGCCAAAGAGGCAAATATCGCTGCAGAGAAGTTTCTTTTAACTGTTCATCGCTATGTTAAAACTGCAAAGGGAATTGCCTAAATGGAGTGTCCGTGGTTATAATTATTAAGATACAGAATGTAATATGGAAACAAATATAGATGAAGAAGCCATACTTTTATGCCTCAAGATAGTAAATTTATATGCAATGCAATTTTCATATTTATTAATATATATTTATAATTTTCTTGAAACGCTTTTTTATCTCATATCTCATTGCAGTACTATTCATTACAAGGAGAAACAAACAATAATTTGTTCATTTTTTCGGACATAATTTTTACTAAAAGTGTATATATTTTAAATAAATGAAATTTTCATAAATTATTATTTTCTTCACAAGTATTCAATATGATAATATATCACAAATAGCATAAAATGCTTAAAAAACGAGAAAGCGTAATGTGAGGTTTTAAAATTTAAAAATCAACTTTGGCTTTTCTTGTAACATTGTCACAATAAAAAAAATTTTTTTACTCTTAAATGCAGTAATAATTATGTGTATTGTTTATTTCTTACATTTAAGCGGTTCAGGGCATAATATTCTTTTCAGTATTGCAATTTAAAAGACGCTAAACATAACCGCGAAACAAACATTCTAACGAACTACCTATAGAATCCGAACAAACGAAAAATATCCACATCGCATGAAGTCTCATGACAATTCAGTCGCTATTCACCATTCAAGTAGCACTCACTTGAATGGCTACTTAATCACAACAAGTGACTTTATGTCATTTTTATATTTCCTGTTGGGTTTGCAGCGACAAAGAGCTCTCGCCGTCATAGTTTTGATAGAGACTTTAAGAAAAGTCGTCGTGATATGCGTTGAATTCAAACAATTATGGTAATGCAAAGGGTTCTCGGTACGATCGTGAGGGAACTTGATTACCATTTTCAGAAAATATTTGTTTGCATGTTGCGGAAATAGTTATACTTTCAAATTAAGTTTTGGATTTTAAATAGCCATTAATCCTCTTTATATGGAATGTATTAAAAATTGGTAAATATCAAATAGAAACGTTTATTTATTTATATTAAGACACATTAAATTTGTTTAAATTTTATATATGGTGACGTTTATTTATTTCAAAGAGTTTATTATTTTTTTACACTAAATACAAATTAATGTATTTATACCTAAATACTTATTTTCTATATCAACACTATTCACATAATCTAATTTTTGTAATAACCATCTTCAACTATGTCTCGACTTCAACTGAACTCTGCCACAACAACACAATCCATTTATATAAAAGAATGAAGGTTCTAGATTTTTCCACCAAAATTCCTTCGCCAAAAGTTGCAATTTAGTAACCCTCGTGGAACATTCTACTGTGTTTTAGATATTTGATCGTTGATCGCCATAGGGTCCCATTTTCCATTGTCGCAACATTAAAGATAGGTTTCGAGGGCTGACTTATTTCTTTAAATAGTTTTATAAATAGGACAAGTGAGGCCTTAAAATCCGAAACAAGGTATAAAGAGACTTAAGGGAGCAGATCATAATCGGAGTGGTCGAAAATAGCATTACAATATCAATTTAAATAAACTATTGTATTTGATAGATTGGTTGGAGAATTACCATGACTACATGTGAAATCATTGTGACACTTTCCGTTTATTTTCATAAAATTAAAAAGTGTTCATTCATTCAGTCATTAACAGTCCCATTTTCGTGGCATTTAAAAATTCATTACTAAAATTAAAATATCCATATTCTCCAATAACTATGTTTCTATCAGTTACTATAAATACCACAAATTTTATCAAAGAGTTTTATTAATTTCCTTACCGCATTATAGGGGAGTGACCAATAGTTTAATAATGAGAAATTGGACTTGTAATTAAACTAAACTGCGAGTAATTATAGGTCGAACAAACGTGAAAAAATTAGATACAGTCCAACCGCGTTACATGCAAATGAATAATAATTACTTGACAAGAAATTTGCTGTTTTACTTAAATGCAGAAATTAGTTTCGTCAATATTATTATAGTTAGGTATAGAATATTTTAATGCAGCTTATATAATACATAGATAAAAATCAGTAAAAACAATTTTTTTTATTGCTGCAATTTAGGTTGTTTTCTTGTCTTTTGGATACTTTTATAAAATGATCTTGTTAATTACAATATTATGTGAGCTTCTTACTTCTTTTTTACTCTTTCAGGCATTACTTTGCTTCCCCTAGGTAGGCTTGGTAGGCTTTCTAAAGCAGGCTTGATTTCCAACATGTCCTTTCTCCTCTGGACTTCTCATATCACGTTAGTGCAGCCCTTTGTGCTTATAGTGCCACTATTTGTATTATACTCCTTTCTGTTCATTTACATAATACAATTATACTTATAAATTCTTCACATAAATTCTTCAAATAAATTCTTCACATAAATTCTTCACATAAATTCTTCACATAAATTCTTCACATAAATTCTATCCATACATTCTACCTTTACATTCTACCCATATATTCTACCCAAACATTCTACCCAAACATTCTACCCAAACATTTTACCCAAACATTCTACTTATGCATTCTACCCATACAATTTACCTAAACATTTAATCCATACATTATACCCATTCATTCTACCCGTACATTCTACTTATCCATTCTACCCGTACATTCTACTCATACTTTCTACCCATACATTCTACCCAAACAATCTAGCCATACATTCTACCCTTACATTCTACCCTAACATTTTACCCATACATTCCATATTCTAGATGGGCCTCGGACTTATCCAATCATGACTAGTCTCACACTGATCAACTGTCATCCATGTTTTAAATACCTTTCAATTAACCAACAATCTAGTTTGCATCTTTCTAAGCTTAAACAGAATAATTTACTGGTATTTATTTAACTAAATCTTATCCCCTATCTTCATCTGTCCTTTGCATTTGCATCGGTAAAATAGGACCATCTTCTTTCTTAAATAATTGTACATAATCTTAATATTGTGAGTATCTATTCCTGAGTTATTCCTTTCCTTCAAGATTCTGCACCAGCAAATAATTTAAAAAGCTTTCAACTTTATTTGTGGGTCAAGCATTTTAAATTCTAATCTTTACAGCAAGATAGTTATAACACAATAATTATTATTATTATCAATTTGATTTTAGAAAATAAAAGTAGCATCTAACGCTGATCGACTACAACCACACTCTTGTATTCATTTAACTCATTGTAGCTTCACTAGTAAGTGACAGTTGGACATTACTTAAACCTGCAGAAAGAATCGATTAAGTATAGGTCCCTCCCTATCACAGACAATCGACATATTGGCAACGCGTGGGTGTTAGAATTACTCTTATTCTACAGGTGTTTTATTTAATGATAATTTTTATTAGAACGAGGAGGTACCACATTCTAGTTAGATACATAATAACTAACATACTTAAAGTTTTTTACTTAGCTGTCGTCATTATGACGATGATCTAAATATTTTTGGATTATCGTAATAGTTATCTTATGGTGTCTGACAGTAAAACTAATCTGCTGGACTAACCATTAATTTTGTACTAAAAGAAACTTAAACTAAAGTCAATCCATTGATCTTCTTTAATTGATTGACTGATTGATTGATTATTATATACAACTCACTAGCACACATACACAACACACTACATAAAATAAAATGGCTTAGTCCTCTTCAATCCTAAGACTTGTTAGTGATTTTTCTGCAGTTGAAGAGCGTCTGTGTTGCTATGTAGGAGATGTTTGACTTTATGCTTACCATAAAACCTTCTGGTCTCTTCTTTTACTATTGGAATTCCAAGGTTTACTATGTTGCGCAATAATAATAAGAACTGTCTCTGAGAAATAATCTGGTAGCAAATTTTGTTTGTTTTATATGTTAAGTGTAATGGTTCCAACATTATAAAGGAAAAACTAAAAAAAAAAAAAAAAAAAAAAAAAAAAAAATGGAATCTGTGTTCATGTACCTCTTTATTTTATATCTAAATGATGATATAATTCTATTTATTTTTTCAAATGCGGTCAATATATTATTGTTCATATACGAATCCCTATCATTATTTTTTATTTGCAAATGCTCTCTTAGATTTTAAAACCAATAAATAATATTGTTTATCAACGTCCTTTCAACCTTAGTGTTCTCCATAAATCCATAAAACTGTTGAAAAGAGACTTATTATGTTACAAACACATCTGATGCCTTTAAGCATTTAAACATTCTCTCTCTTGAGATTGAAAGAGAATTCTAAAAGACTTGCCTTTCATGTATTTTAAAAGTACTTTATTCTAACTCTAGTGACAAAATGTTCATTCGGTAATAGCTACTGGCCAATGGTTATGAATATCACTCCCGCATCGTAGATAGACATCAATTTCATGATTGACAGTTCTACTCGAGGTATTATGATTTAATTTGAATTTGCCTGAATAAGGCTAAGCGGAGTTTATTGCGTTCAACTTTAATTCAAAAATGGGTAAAAATAATGATAAAATAATTATTCTCATACGGTTATTCACGCTCGCATACGCTCGTGTTCAAAATCTTCCACTCGTATCGAATTTTTATTCCAACCTTGTCCACATTTACTCTTTTTTTTACATTAACTTAGTTTGGTAATATTTCTTTTTTTTTTATTACAGGAACAACAGATATCAATGGGAGTCCCATAATTTTATGTTATGCCGAATGTATTACGAGAGCTGGACTGAACAAATACGAAGTTGCAAAACTTCTTCTATATTACTTTTCAATACCGACGTAAGTACTTTTATAATATGAATGATTTTATTGTTAACATGTTTATCACAGGAAGCTTCTTTGGTAATATTATGGATATGCATATCAAATTTGACATTATTTTAAAAAACTGTTTCCTAGTCGGTCATTTCTAACACTCTTCTCAGTACTAATTCTTGCATTGCTAAGATGAAATTTTGTGGATTACAAATTTTACACCATGTAGTAACCTTTCATGTGAAAAGATTACAACGTAATTTAGGATTTAATGACCAATTTAAAATTTAATTTTGAAGCTCTAGCTAGATAGTTATCTAGGGTGGATATTTTTTTAAAAACTTTTATATTATCTGCATAGGGTAAGTCCGGTATAGTCGGACCAACGGGATAGACGGACCAGTTAGGTTTGTGTAAGAGTTGTCCAGCAGATGTCACTTGTGGTCGCGGTTTGATGCAATAGAAGTTACGTCATATCAGTTGGGAAAATATGGACACTAAATAATGTTCGCTTTACTATTTGTGACCGAATCAAGTTTGATCCTACGTAAAAAAATACTGTGTATTATTGTGTGTTTGAAACATCCATTTTAGGTAAGTTTTAAAGAAATAGTTGTATATAAAATAGATTACTGGATGTATGTAGAATATTCTAACCCAAAAATAAGTCTCCCATAGTTTCGATTGGGAACGATTTTCAACAGGTCCAGCTGCCCGTTATTTTGGGATAGTTGGTTCACATATTTTAGGGTTAAATAAACCATATACATCATTACCCAAAAATTAATTTTAATATCAATTTAGTGCAGTTTCTTGATTTACAGAGTCATGCCGAGTATATATAAACGCAAGGGAATAGCGGAACGAGGGAAATGAACGGAGGAAATCCTGCTTAGTGCAATGGAAGTTGTGGCAAACGGCAAAATGGGCGTTAATGAAGCAGCTAGAGAGTTTGGAATTCCGAAAACGTAGATTAAAGTCTTCTAATAATATCCTTAAGTTACAAAAGCATGGGTTCGCGCCAGATAGAGATTTGATAGCGTTAGGAAAATGGCTTACGAGTTAGCAGAGAAGCTTAAAATTAGACACACTTTTAATAATGATAAATGCAAGGCTGAATATGATTGGCTCAATTTATTTTTAAGTGGGTCTCTTATTCGCGAGCAACAGGCTTATGCAAGGAAAACGTGAAAGAATATTTTCGTTTACTGGCTCAAATCTTGGACAATAATGATTTAAATGATAAACCGGGTCACATATTTAATGTAGACGAAACTGGTCTACAGTTAAATAATAAGTCTGGCAAGGTACTAGCTAAGAAGGGATCAAAATATGTTGCAAACATCACTTCGGCAGAAAAAGGAGAAACAATATCCGTACTCGCCTGCTCCAATGCTGAATGAATATTTGCCCCCTTATTGCATTTTTAAAAGCAAAAAAAAAGAACAATTCTTAACTGGAATGCCCTCCAGTTGTCATGATGTCAGAAAAGTCCGCATACATATATTTCTTCATTGGCTGAAAACTCATTTTTATCCCCGCAAGCGACGTGAAAGTCCTGCTGATCTTAGATGGACATGCTTCGCACACCAATTCTATAAATGTATTAGAATTTTCTGAAGAGAATTATATAATTCTCTTGCGAATGCCAGCTCATACAACTCACTTCCTGCAGCCGTTGGATCGATCATTTTTCAAGTCGTTAGAGAGCTATTACTAATCGGCCTGTAATAGCTTCATGAAAGCAAATCCTGGAAGAAAACTTAGTAGGATCCAGTTTGGTGAGTTGTTTGGTTTCTCTTGGAACAAAGCTACCACTGTACAAAATGCTGTGTCCGGATTTAGTGCAAAAAGTATTGTGCCATTTTGGCCAGAACTCGCTTACCTTACGACAGAAAAAAACATTGACCCTGCTCTTGAAAACAATTTACCGTATACCTTGCAAGATAGTACTAGTGCCGATATTGCCAACAACGATATATCGTCCACCAATCGTTTTTCACAGCCAAGTTGCTCTTATCCTGTTGACAAAGTAATTCTCTTCGAAAACTGTCACACCTGGGAAACTGCTGGACCAAACATCACCAGTTCCTGTTTCGACTGAGGAAGAAAAGGTAAAGAGACGTGGACGCCCAGCATGCCTAGGTTCTCAATATACCAGAAAATATCGAGACTGTTAAGAATAAGAATCGTCGAATGGTGCCAAAGCAACAGTTCCTCTGAAAAACAAAATGATATTCCTAAAAGAGGGAAGTGCCCATTAAGGAGAACAAAAGTACCTACAGGTCCGTCTAACCCAAGAATTGGATTTTCAGTTTTTTTTTTTTTTTTGAAATAGATTTTTTTTAGTTTTATTCATATCGCATGATACTTTTATAATAAATGCTACTAAAAACGTTCAGAGTATTCTGATGTAAACATAGAGGGAGATCATTGACATTTTAGCTTTGAGGGCCCTGATAAGTTGACGTAACATTAACAAAGATAGTCCGATCCTTTATATTTAAATACACTAAAATCCATGTTTCTTACCTTAATAATATAAAATATTAACAAAATAATATTCTGAGAGTGGCAAATATTTTAAATTTAAAAGTTCTTTTTGGCCAAGTTGAAGATTTCTTTACTTTCCTTAACGAAGTTTAAATAATACAAAAATTGTAACTTATACAACATATTCGTAAAGGCAACGTAGCGAAATATTTTTAAGAAAAACTTTATTGAGAAATATCTCGGAAATACTTACATGGTTGTAAACTTTTTTCTTTTCAATAGCAAAATAATTTTATTTGATTGTAGCAATTTGCTGTCTTGCCTCACGTATATGTAGCGTTATTTTCTGCAAAATGTGTGTGATATGTGATAGTTAAATTGCACCATTGATTTATTATAATTACAAAGAACTGTATCGTAAAAGGCGATTATTTTAAATATTAATAGTAAATCGATTTAAACATAAAATTTAATGAAATAAAAAACCAAATAGTATAAATATACTATGCGGAAATACTTAAATAATTGAGATGATTGTGGGTTGGGTTTTCTCTATAAGGGGTTTACTTATAATTAGTGTTGTTTTCTGGATATATTACGAAATTTAATATTTGCTACCTGACCTTATAGTGCTTATACTATTGACTGAAACCCTCTTTATATATATATATATATAAATATGATAAATATCTTCCATAAAGCGGTTTGCATTTCTGTTCCTTGATCAAGTCTTCCTGGGATTGGCTTCTTCTATTGTCCTTTTGGTCTTTAAGGAACTCGTTAAATATTTGGGATGTCAGTTTAACCTGTAAAATATTTGTTCTACCTATTGACACCATACTTGTTTAAAAATGTTATCATGTCAAGTAATTTGGATATTAGCTGGAAAAAACCCATAGAACATCCGATTTATATCGAAAGCAACAGTGTAATTATGACAGTTAAAGTCATGGGCATAACAATCGCCCAATCCTTTATGTTTAAATGCCATAAGTTTCCATTCCTTGATTAAGTCTTCCTGGGATTTTATTCTTCTACTGTCCTCTTGATCTATAAGTTATCCATTCCCTGTAAGTATGATATTCATACTAGTAGGAAATAAGTATTCCTTGCAGGTAGACTATACTTTTCTGTTGGTATAACGCGCTGATACCCATTTTTAGTTGCTTGGATTTTATAATTTATAAACTTTAAATCACAGCTTTCTTCTAAATAATTATTTAAAATAATTAAGGAATGACTACATTGTGTTTTCGGATGTGTATTTTGTATCAGAATGATTAAAAAAGAAATTGTACCTAATTTCTTTATTATCATTAGTTAAGAAAGTGTGAAATAATAAATAAATTTGCTACGGTCGATTCTAAAAAAAACTATTTTATATAAAATACTAACAGATACATCCCATGTAAACTTTTTTAGCAGTATCTATATTATTATGGAACAGGTACATCAATTAGGTGAGCAAAAGCTACTGCCTTTGATAATATAGAGCGTAATTTTAACAAGTCCTTCTAGCTATTGAAGCAAATCAACTGTATCTCGAAACCATCAGGCATTGTCACATTTTGTAAATAAAGAACCTGTGTGTACACGTTTGAATTAGGCCAGGAAAACTATTGCAATAATAAATATTCATTCAGCTAACGATAGAATGAACTACTAAATTTGATTATTAGTTTATTAATATCTAAGGGATAAAAATAAATAATTAAAAATTTGTAATTATTGTGATTCTTAAATATTTAAATTTTTCCACTTCTTCGAATTTATATTTTCCTATTTCTACAATTTTGTCCAAGATGTTTCCCATAATTTTTCTCCTTTTTGCATTTACCACTTTGTCTTTTACCTAGCGTCTCATTATTAATTACCAACCAATTAGAGCACATACTCGAAAAAACCCCGATTAAAAACATGCATATCTAATATTATAGTCAAAACTGATTGAAATATCTCTTTATCAGAAGGTACTTTATTTTTGAATTAAATTTATATGTCAAAACTCCAATGTCATTCTTGCAGAAAAGTGTTTTAACCAAATAATTGAATTATTAAAAAAAAAAAAAAAAAAAAGAAATCGTCATAAGAACAAGGCGTCAAAGGATACAATGCTATAAAAAACGAGCTGAAAGGTAAATAACAAGTGAATATTTGCAACAAAGATAAGTATCTTTTAATAGATCTCTACTGGACAAAATTAAATCAAGCAATCTCCTACTATTAAAAATTAGTAATAATTTCGGATCTACTCTTTATAGTACGTCTTTTGGCGACGTTGTCGACTACATTAAATCTGTAGGCTTGCCTTACGAGCTAGGAGATGTCTATCTACTTAGGAGGATGCACAATGGGCCTAGTAAGGTCTAATGCCGTGGGTTAGTCCACCCTCCACACGTTACAGATACACATACGTCTCTTGCAATAAGATTTGGTAAACTAGAATCCATATTGCTAGCGGAATACCGAAATTGATTGCCAGAGCCCGGTAATAATGTTAAGTTTAAGATAGATCTAGTGTGGCTTATGTGTGAATTATACTTTAATGTACAAAACACACCTTTTGATGAACGCATGGTTGAGTAAGATGAAAGACGTGTTTAAAGTCGTTGGACTCTAGTCGGGTGAAGCCAAAGATATGGTACCTAGTTATTTCCAAGGCGCGATAGGTACATAGAATGTTCTCTGCCTATTCGTCTTCCATACTGTAGAATCGACAGTCTAATGTTTGTTGCAGACCTTTTTTTAAAGAGGTCTCATCACCACCCCCATAGCTAACAGATAGGTACGGTCTTCACTCATTCGGGTATGATTTATGGAAAAAGTTTTTCCATGTAATGGATAAGAAAGGATTATATTAGTTATTTTTTATTTTATTTGCAATACATTATTTATGCATTATATTTATTTCGTGCCTTCTTGCTTCTTCCTTCTTTCTTGATAAACTTTGTTGTTCCCTTGGATTCTTAATACTTGGGTGGAGAGTTGGATTTTCTGTTTCCATGGCAGAGTACCGGTTAAATTAAACCCCCATTTGCCAACTTACAAGAGCTTCAGACTAGCTATTTTGCGGAATGTGATATGTAAAAATAATGTTTACTTTGGTTCCCAGAAAGAATATAGCGACAAATAAATTCTTTTTGTCGTGTGATTTTTGAAATGTTTAATACTATTTAAAAAGAAAAATGGAAATAAAATTCTTAGACTTCAAAATTTGAGTGTCTATTTGAAGGAGTAAATTTGCCTAAACTTGGTTTATTGCCCATTTGGGAAAATCCTCTGGCTCCTCAAATAAAGGCATCAGGTTCAAAGTTTGGCAGATTTCTTAGATTATTAGTAATTTTTAGGAAGACATGTGGATGGTGAATTGGGTTTTCCCCAAAGTACAGATCCTGCAGAATTCTTTAATTGTCGAAGTCTCCACTGGTGTGTTTATCCAATTGGGATTTTTGCTTGTTCTATTATCTGTATGTGGGCCATATTGTTTCCATGTCTGCACAAAAAGTTTGCGCGTTTGAATAGTATTATTTGTTTATTCATTGTCTTAACAACTATATGTTAAGGTGTTTAACAAAATTGCAATCTAATATAATGGCTTAGTAAGACCATATTTAGTTAATTAAATTTATATCCTTTAAAAACTTAACTATTTTCGTTTCATTTATAATTAGTCTATGAGTATTTATTACATCGATACGGCCTTCTCCATAATTGGATAGTCAGTCAGAATATGGACCATCATCGTCAGAATTGGACCACCATCACACGCAAAATAGTTCGGTTAAGCATCACCTGGCATGAAGCACTGACATGTGGTCAAAGTGTGTCCTTATTCTAAGTCGCGAAAGTATCACTTGTTGTTTTTTTACACTATAGAGGCCGGTACTTTCAGTCCTATGTAATCATGATTAACTAAATTTAATAGATGATTACAGTTTACTGTCATTTCGAGTACTGTTGTTCAAGCATAGTCGTGATCAAATAGTGGGTGTGGCGTTATTATATTTAACAGCTCTAAATACTAATGATTAAAACCTTAATCAAGGTTTCTTTGCCTTATATTTCGACATATTTTTGCAAATTTGAAACGCTGATTAAATGTATAATAATAATAATAAATGTATACTTCATAAAAGTTTATTTTAGGATTTGTATATTATAATAATACATTTTTAAATATTTCGTTTAAAAAAGGGATATTTAAATAATAAGGGAAAAAAACTAAAACCCTATTTAAGAATTGTGGTTCATCTTCTGACAATATTATTGCACAGATTTTTTTATTTGGAAAAGTTTAAAGTTGGATTTGTTCCTCTGAGATTGCCATGTTTTGAAGATCACACTGTTAATTACCGATATAGGTCTTTGTGAACACTGCTATGTTATTCGCCACGTAACTTAATATAGCTCGTATAGCTAAGTTGTATGTTCTCTTGTTTCCCTCAATTCCTGTACGTTCTGTGCTAGTAGAGAGCCAGTTCCCTACATTCGAGATGTGTTCGAGAAGATGTCTTTCTTTAGTGGTGTTGTCCCATTCGACTTGCCATGTCCGTACTAAGATGTGCCTTATTTCTAAAGTTACCGCTTTCAAGAATCTGTAGTCTGCAGCTACAATGTGGTTTACTACGAAGAAAGTTGAATACATTTTCTTTAATTCAGTTATTGCTTTGAGAAACATTAAGTGAACATGCAGAGGAGGGTGCTTCGCCAACATACGACAATGCCCTGTCATCAGTCTCCTAAGAATACGTATATCGTTCCTACTCCATCCAGGTATCTAAACAGAGTTAGGTATAAGGTTTGGGTATAAATACCTTCAAATGAGTTAACCCAAGGGTATCTCACCAGTACATTAGTCTTATAGCCTCAATTGAGTTCCACTAAATAGTTCGAGTCTTATGAACTCAGATTAGGTTCCTCATTTAGCGGACACGTCCTCCGCTTCGCTGTCATGGAACTTAGATAATTATTGAACTTAGACGTATTATTGTATTAACTGATTTTACATTTTTTGATTCTTTTGAATTCTAAATAGATTTAAAATATGTTATCAAAACTGATACTGGCCTACAAAAACGGTAGTGAAGAAATGTACCTGTGTGGCCAGCTACTAGTGTTTGATTAGTATACAATTCTCGGGCAAATGAGGAAGACAAAGGTGTTTTTCCCTATGGCTTTGAATAAATCAGTAATTATTCATTCTGAGGTGTACAACAGAATTTTATCTTGTTCCATATCTGAACGATTCATTAAGCTCTTTTTCATCTTTCTCGCCTATTTGCTCTCTGCCACTTCCGTATTGCTTTAGTTGTTTCAATTAGATTTTCCGCATCGATATGTGGGTACAGTTGGAATACCTAATTTTTAAAAATTGTAACAAAAAGAAGATGCTATCTAAAATTCCTGAAAACGAGCACTCTGCGAACAATGAAATTATTGATTTAAGTGCAAAAACACTACTTATGCTTTGTAAGAAATTTGAATGTACATGCTCTAGTCGTTAATTAAGTAGATGTTTGCGTATAAATCTTGAAAACTTTGAATATTGAAAAGAATTCATTTGTAATGCCCTTAATTTTTGCAAACTATAATTTTTATTTAGTTTTTTATTAACTCTGATATCCATTATCCTAATTGTTGCTCCCATTTCCGAATTTTTAGTTGTTATTTACTTATTTTCATCAAGTTAATGCTGTTCTCTCAGTTCTAACTCTAATTCCTTCCTTACCAAACGCTTCCAAATTCTACTTCTCAAATATCTCTAGGATAAATGTATATGATTATTCATTTCAAACTGCTCTAACATGATTTATTTTCACTATCATTCCTTATAACTTAAAATCTTTCTTCATTATTTTTGAGCACTTTATCGATTTTTAATTTAAATTAGATAATCACACAATTGATTGTGTAAAGTCAACTATTAAAATATTTCCACAAAACTAAATCTTGTAGATATAGATTTTTTTTAAATTTGATTCATTAAACAACTCAATTTTTATTTTCAGGACGGACTTTAGAGAAAAAGGCTTCACAGTGTTGCTTCTAGCCGAGAATGCAGCAGATTATAAGGCTGTGGAAATTCTAGATAAATCAATTTGTCTAGTAGGAAATTCTGCCAACGTCAACAGATTTCTTATTTGGACACCTGGTCCCAAAGGAATTAAAGAAGTGAAGAAACTGGCAAGCAAAGTTGAGGTAAATTAAATTAAATACCTACTAATCAAACTTTCATGTTTTCAACATAACTTCTAACTCAAAAGATAAGTATTTGTAGTTGATTGCCACTACTAAAAACGCATGGTGCAACACTTATAGTTCAATATAAGATATTTTCAAATTCTTTTTTTGGTTTGTTATTTCACATTTATTTCTAAATATAATTGCAACTGCTTCCTTAAAGTTTATCTTTATCTTTCAGTCGTTTCTTATGGTCATGTACTTCATGGTTTATCGCTTGTTGTTTATCAAGATTCTGGATTCAAGCAACAGTTTTTTCTAACACTTATTTTATTATCTTCACATCATTTCCTTCTACCTTTTCTTTGTTCGTTTCGACTTTAAGTTCTATGAAATATTTCATGGGAAACTATACGTCATCAAAGTTCAGGTCGACCCTATATTTGAAAAGGAATGGATTCGGGAATCCAGAGTAAACTTGAATGAAATTAAAACTATTCAAACCATTTAGAGTAAGCGCAACGTATCTCTAGAAAATGTTTAATTAAAATTTGATGATGTATTTGATGCTAACATGGGTGAGACACCAAACTTTAAGGGACACACAGAACTTGAAGAAACCGCAATGCCGATATTCCACATACCGAGGAAAATTCCATATGCATTGTTAAAAGAAGAATTAGACCGGTTAAATAATTTAAATTAAAAATTCTGGCTGGGGTACTCCACTTTTTTCCATACTTAAACCTAATGGAAGTTTAAGATTGTGTGGAGATTACAAAGTCACACTTAGTAACTGATGAGAAAGATGAAAAACCCCGAATAGAGGACATTTTTTAAAAATGAATGGAGGTCAATTCTTTTGTACTTTAGACTTAATTAAACAGGCCTACTAACAAATGGTTATGGATGAGAGTGCTTTATTGTAAAACAATCAGTACCCACAAAGCACTGTATAGGGTAAACCGTATAATGTTGGCAGTTAAAATTGCACCAGATTTTTGGCAGAAATACATGAATAAAATCCTAGGCAGACTGAAAGGAATACAATGTTCCCTGTATGACATACTAATTCAAGGTCCAACTTATGATGCTACATTACTAAGACGACAAGTACTAGAAATTTTGAGAATGGACAATATAAAGTATAATATATTAAGGACATAAACTAATGAAGATGGGTTACACAAAACCGATGACAAAGTTAGGGCATTAATAAATTCAAAGCAACCAGAAAATGAACGTGACTCAAGGGTATTTTTAGGACTTGCAAATTATTATAATAAATTTGTGCCAGATTTGGCAATAATTCCCTCTCCATTAAATAGTCTTTTAAAGAAAACAGCATAATGTAACTGGTCAGATGAATGTGAAAGCATAAATAGCAAGCGATAATACATTAGCACATTATTGTCCACAGTTACAACTTATTATTGCTAGTGATGCTTCACCGGTTTTACTCGGAGCTGTTCTTTCACATTAATTTCCGGAAGGTACCAAGAAACCAACATGTTTTGCTTCAAAAACATTAACTAAGAGTGAACAGAAATGCAGCAAAAGAGGCAACGTGTATATATTGGGCACTAAAAATTTCTATCCGAACTATTACAGTCTAAAATACACACTAGTAACAGACCATAAACTATAAGTATCAATTTTTAATCCGATTAAGAATTTACCTACAATGACAGCAACAAGACTATTTTATTACGGACACTTTTTATCTGGTTTTGATTACGATATACAATTTCGCCATTCAACAAAGCATGCAAATGCAGATTTTTTTGTCCAAATTTCTAGTTGAAGAAAGTATCAATTTTAAAGATCACTACGAAATTTTTCATCTAAACCAGATTGAAACTTTACCAATTACAATTAGGAATGTAGCAAAAGAAACTACTAAAGATGATTATTTAAACAATTTACTACCTAAACTACAAAATGGCGAGTATTTAAAAGAACTAGGCTATGAAGCCAATGAATTGACGCTGCAAGATGGATGTATTTTTCGTGGAACTAAAGTAAGTAATGATACCCAAAACATTGTGATGCAAAGTATTAAAAGAACTGCATATTGGACATACTGGCATGACTAAGATGAAAGCACTCGCCAGAAGCTATTGCTATGAAATGTGGACAAAAATATAGAAAATCTGGTAAGTTAATGTAAGCAATGTTGTGAAAAAAGAAATGAACTATCTAAAACTAAACGTCATTCATGGAAGTTGTCTCAGGAACCATGACAATGTATCCACATTAACTTCGCAAGACCCATTCAAGGAACATCATTCTTTATTGTAGCGGATGCAAGTGGATACAAGATGGATTGAAACTATTCCGACAAAAATAAAAACTACAAATTGGTGCATAATATAACTTAGACAGTTATTTGCAATATTTGGTTTACCCATTACAATGGACCACAATTTACTTTATGTTTGAATTCATTTTTTTAAATAAATGGAATACAGCTTAAAACCTAGATCCTTTACCACCCAGCGACAAATGGACAAGCAGAAAGATTTGTTCAAACAATAAAACGGGCTCTACAGGCTACAGCAAATGAAAAATTGGACATAGAGGTGAAGACATGCAGAATTTTATTGCAACTCCGTAAGGTACAGAATACTTTAGGGGAAAGTGCTTTTAACTTAATGTTTAATAGAAATATTCGAACCTGATTAGATCTGTTAACCAATATAAAAGATTTAATACAGTCCAAAAGACAAAAAACAAAATATAAGCACATTTAAGGAGGGAGAGAGAGTCCGCAAATAGAGAGGAACATCTAAATGGGTTTTTGATGCTTTTACTAAAGAAACTAGAAGAACTACATTACGAAGTAGAATAGCAGACAGTGTCGCTGACATTTAGATCAAACGATAGGCACCAAAGTAGAAAATTAAAAGGGAGAACTGACAGAGAGAGCAAAATAGACTTAGGTTTTGTTAAATTTGATGTTTAGTTAATAGTAGATTTATATACTGGTCAAAATATATTTATTAAAAATAAAGATGACATTATTACTAAATATAAGAAATATACAGTCTTGTAATGGTATCTCTCAGAATTATTGTGCTAGTTATCATTGTCATAATCAATTTTTCATATTTATTAAAAGGTTAGAAAATACAATAAATTATAGAGCATTATAGAACTTTAGCCTTTTGATGCGCTTATGGGAGTGTCGAGCAAATACATTTTATTCGTAATCTACCATAAATCGATAAAAAACCAAGTGTTCATATTACATGTCTTAACATGTATATTACTGTGTTCATTGCCGCTGTCATTTCAAATAATTCTATTAGAACATTAATCAATTTAAGAACTACACTCGGTGTGGTAATTACATTTCTTTCTCAACTACTATTAAAGCGAAAGATAAGTGTATTATATCACAATTACTTAATTGTCCAAGTAATTTATCTTAGGGTAAGTTTTCATTGTGTTAATGTTGATCACTTAACAGTTGTGACGGCATTGTATTAGAAAAAGTTATCTTCGAAAGCAATTTGTTTCAACTAAAGTGATTGAAGTAAGCTGCATTTACAAGTAAATAATAAAAGAAAATAAAGAATGTATATAAAGTTAATATCACAGAAAGGTTTTGTGTTACCATAGATCAATGACAAGCCGTTTATAGGAGCAAGGTCGTGCGGTGCACGATGGCGCCAGTGCATAACAGTGCCGTTAGGAGTCTGCTAACTTAAATTATATTTAGTTGTTTGAAACTTTACACCAATTTATATGAAATCAAAAATGGTGTTAATACTCCGCAATAGACGAATCATATTCCAAACCAAACTGTTTTTCTTATTTTTAAGTTCAAAAAGTTGATGCAATAACCCATCTAAGATTCCAGTTAGGACAATTTTATGCTATGCTTTGTATAAAAATTTATCTAGAAATTATTTTAATATATTCAGAAGCGACCTCGTTTCGGTCAAATGACCATCATCAGACCTGTAAGAAAAGTACAATTTGCACGAGGAAAAAAATATATAGTAATAAATGTAAATGAAATATTAAAGATTAATAAACTAAAGTCACATAAAATTTGAAAGTTATAAGTATAAATATACATTAACAGAAAATAATATAAAATATTAAGTGATGCGAAAATAGCAATAAAACAATTAAGTAAACATATAAGATATAATGAAACCTATAGCAATTAGTGTAATGATAAAACGGTAAATCAAATTAAAGCATTTACATTAGTGGTTAAAAATTTTAAAAGATAGAAAAATAAAGCTTAGTAGCTAAAACAGTTAGGAAGAAGAAGATAAAGAAGAAGAAAAAGCAGAAGAAGAAAAAAATAGAATTTATATTTTTCAAACTGTATTTCTTATACATTAAAATAGTTATGTTAGTATTGTTAAGCAGGATTATGGTAACACAATTTATTTCAACTCAACTCTTCAATGCAACTATATAACTGATAACATGAACATATAACGTCTATTATAAAACTGAAATACTGACGTCAAGATGATCGACTTTTATAGCTCGCCTGAACTTTCTGGAACCTTCTGAACTCTATGGATTTATCTTGACAAGGAATGACAATTACAGACATTTCTGGACTATTCTATTTTTTTTCTCGTACTATTACTCATAACGACCGCTGCATACTGTCGGGTGATGAGTGACACTACACTTCTTTTTTAATTCGTTCATTTCCCGAACTCTTGTCAGTTTCTTTTTAGTACCAAAATTTCCTCCTGAACGGCTGCTATGAAGCTCCTCCAACACACTTCTGACATGTGATTTCGGCAGTATAACTTGGCAGACTATATGTACTTCATCGGAGCTCTCCCACTTTCGGTGCAATAGCCCATCGTGAAGATACAGGGAATCCCACTGAGTCCAGTACCCTTTAATAGTTCCCCTATATTTGCCATGTAGGTCTGACTCCATTTTTGAGCCATTCTCGGACAACCTTCAATTCATTGTCTTTCTTTTTAGTCTTTCTTAGGCTTTCAAGGGTAATTCCGTCTTTATCATCCACTGAC